CCCCCCCCCCCCCCCCCCAAAAAAAAAAAAAAAAAAAAACCCCACAAAGAAAAGAAAGGTTGCTTAGTTGTTGACCAAGTAATATGATTCTCACTGAGAATATCCTTTATGTTTTGTTGCTTTATTTAGCATTACTTTGTCATTACAATTATCAGTAATAGTTATACTTGGATGCACTAATATGTCTCTGTGTCCATCACTTGCCTTTTCGTTACTTCTCGTTAGGCGTAAAAAATTATGACAATAAAATAGACATGGTATGACAGTTAGGTGAGAAAATGGCATGAATTGGTGCAGGACATCCCATGTATATATCTGATGGCGCAAAACATGTCACTGGCCCCATACAGCAGTTTGTGTGTAATTTAGCAACAACACAAAAAATTAGGAACACAAAATTAGTTTGCATGTCTTAACTTATTTTAGATTCTGAACATGGGGGTCCTCCATGGAATCAACGTTCATTATTTTCTAGATGTTTGATTTTTATTTTGGTAGGTTTAGATTGCATGAAAATTCCTTCCAGAGAAGGAAGGAACTTGATTTCTTAGGCTTTAGGGACAGCAGTGGGCTGTGTTTGGGACTGGGGAGCCTTCTTGAGTCTCATATAGGAGGAAAACTTTTCCTGATGCTTTATTGTTACAGTTATTTGGGGGCGGTTTGGGTTCTAGGCTTCTAGCAGAGAATTTGTTCTGTTGATGCCACCCCAGAATGGCCTTTTGCCCTTTTGAAATTTTAACTCCTAAGAGTTAAAAGTGTTTAATTCTATATAATTGAATGCTAATCATCATTGAGGTTAGTCATTGTTAAACTGAAAAGGGGGAACGAATTTTTTTATATGTTCTTGTTTTCTGAGTTTGAGGCTTCTCTGTGACAATGTTAGGTACGATGATACCAATCCAGAAGCTGAGAAGAAAGAATATATTGATCATATTGAAGAAATTGTACGATGGATGGGCTGGGAGCCATTTAAGGTGTATTTTGTGTCTACTTTTTTACCATTTGTTGTGCCTTGGCAACCTCTAATAGTTGTCGGAATTTTGCAGATCACGTACACTAGTGATTATTTCCAAGAGCTTTATGAGCTAGCAGTGGATCTCATACAAAGGGGTCATGCTTATGTTGATCACCAGGTTGTTTTTCAACAAATTATAAAGATTGATTGCCTGAAGATTTTCATTAATACAGGATAGAAAGACATCTTCCTTTTGCGGCCTTTATTTCGTGTTAGGACAACCTACACGCACCCGCTTTCTATTTTGGTGTCTTTTCGGGCCCAGATAGTACCTGCAGTGTTGAATGATGATGGGAGTGGTTTGAATGCTTGCATGTTGAGCAGTCTTCTCATTTTCCTTCTGTTTTCTTCCTTTATTTGTTTTCTTTGTTTTTCAACTTTCTTTCTTTCAGCTTGATTTATTGAGTTGTAAGGTTATTTATGTAGATTATCCAATTTTACATGGATGAGAAATGGTTTACAAGCAACAATGCTATTTATACTGGCCTATTTTGGACATAATGCATTTTGTAGAATTCACCTATATGACATGATTATTCGTTGCCATTTCATCCAGACACCTGAAGAGATAAAGGAGTACAGGGAGAAAAAGATGAACAGTCCTTGGAGAGATAGACCGATTGCAGAATCATTGAAGCTGTTTGATGAAATGAAACGAGGGATGATTGAAGAAGGCAAGGCGACACTTAGAATGAAACAGGACATGCAGAGTGATAATGGCAATATGTTCGACCTTATTGCATATCGTATCAAGGCAAGTGTGCTTGCCTAAGAATCTTTGGTTAATGAAACCCAAGGAGTTACACATATTTCAGTGGTTTGACTTTCTGTTTTGCAGTTTACTCCTCACCCGCATGCAGGAGACAAGTGGTGTATCTATCCAAGTTATGATTATGCCCATTGCATTGTAGATTCTCTCGAAAATATCACCCACTCGGTTTGTACCTTTTACTTTGGTGGATATTCTTCTTCTGTTGCCGTTTACTTTAAGTCTATGGCTTATATAAGAACATGTTTTCTCATTGGCATTGAACTGAAAAACCTTACTGAAATGGGAAGACTATAAGCGCAAAGCATCTTAATGGAAACCTTAATTCTTCCCCCCCCCCCCCCCCCCCCCAAAAAAAAAAACCCACAAAACCTCCCAGAGAAAAGCCCCGTCCGCCTTGAGAAGTTGATATTGTATGCTAATATATATGTTGTTTTGTCCTTTCATATCTCTATGTTTCTTCTCATTTTTGCTTATATGATGAATTTTCATGTGTTTGTATGCTGTTGTGCGAGTAATTGCTAAATGGAAGGATTGGTGAGCTAGTTATTATCTCTTTTTTATGCGGGATAGAAAGTAAATGTTCTAATAGCTGTTCCTTTCATCATCCCTGGTGGTATTACTGTGTCACTTTCGAAACAGGACTGAAGTTGCCGAACCAATCAGATAGGCTTCCAGAACTGTATAAATGTTAGGTCTCTGGCTTTGTATAGCCTCCAAGTGGAACAATTTTTTTTTTTATTTTTTTGGGGCACAGCATTTAGCAAGCACTCGGTGGTTAAATAGGTTGGCTGTTCAAGAGTGTCTTTTTTTGTGGTAGATGATCATCCAGTTAAAAACAACTAGATTACCTTGATCTTTTCCTTTTAAGTAAACTTCATGTAATGTAATTTGTTAAACTCTGCGCTTGTCAAACTTTATGGAATCTGGTTGTCAAGCTTTTCATATTAACTGGTGCTTTGTGTGGTTTGGCCTACAATCTTTTGCTAAATGCACTTAAGCATGTTAGAAAAGTCGCAATTAAGCAAAATTTTGTAGATTAGTGTCCTTGCTTCTGAGTCACTTTTAGGCTTTTATGAAAGGAGCTAAGCATACCAGCAACATGTTCTTATATTACTTCGAATAAGAGGGAGGAGGGTATTGTTTGTAGACAAGGCCGACCTTAGGCATAGGTCACTAAGGTAGCTGCCTAGGGCCCAAAAAAAATTTAACCTTCAACTATGTTAGGCCCATTTTTTTGGTCCTTTTTTGAGTATTAAATAAGATCCAAATTTTTAGGGTCCCAAATTTTAATAGTCCAAATCAATGACTAGCCTTGTTAAGCCCAAAAATACTCTCCATTTGGTTAAGCCTAATAAAACCCTTAAAAAATGAATCCTAGTATAAATATTAAACCAGATTCTGTAAACAAAAAAATTGTTTGCTCACACCTCTCTCTATCCTTCTCTCTCTCTCTCGCTCTATATATATCTGTTGATTACTTTATATTTGTTGTAGGTCAAGCTCTTTTTTCAATTAGAAAAAGATTTGAACAATTTAAAACATATGAAGATATTTTTGGGTTTTTATTTAGTTTTGAAAAATTAAAATTTTTATAGGAAGATAATTTGCAAAAACATTGTCTTAAATTTGAAAATTTTCTAAAACATGTATCTACTGATATTGATGACTTAGATTTACTTTCAAAATTAAAAGTTTTAAAACAAATTTTAAAAATTGAAACCAACACTCTAATTGAATTACTAAACTACATAAAAAGACTAAATTCTTTTCCAAATGCATTCGTTACCTATAGACTTTTGTTAACAATACAGTAACAATCGTTTCAGTAGAAAGGAGCTTTTCAAAACTTAAATTGATAAAATCTTATTGACTGTCAACTATGTCCAAGAAAGATTGAATGGATTAGTTATAGTCTATTGTGAAAGATTTATTGGTAAAATTTGAATATAAGAACTTGATCAATATTTTTGCTTCTCAAAAGGCAAGAAAAATAATTTTTAAATAAATAAAAAATTAAATTAGGATACTTAAAAATAATATATATATTAATACAAGAAATATTAGTAGGGCCCCATGTAAAGTTTTTGCTTAGGCCCCCGTTTACGTTGGGCGCTCCTGTTTGTAGAGGACAGTCACATTAAGAAATGGCCCCTTCATTTTTCATCTCCCGCTCTTGAGAGAGAGGAAAATGGTGGACCTGGTGAGAAGATGCATTTCTCCTCTTCTCCTTTCCTTCTCTTTCCCTTCAGTTCATTCACTAGCCATTCCTCCCCTTTCCTTTCCTCCGACCTTCTACTTTCTCTTTCTATTCTTCTTCCCACTTTTCCTTCCTATCGATGGACTATTTGTGTTGTATGCTTGAGCTTAAAAAGAAAAATGTGTTGTTCCCACAATTCCCTCCTACTCACCATTGGCGCTGAACGGTCAGAGTTTGCAATTTTATTTCTTGACCTGATCTTACTAAACTGTATCAGACTTGGTACTATTAGAGGGGATTGCCCAATCTCTAACGATATTACTGTTTTTTGAAGAACCTGGGTGGGTGGAGCTTGAAGCCTTGAACCACAAACCTCATACTATGGGGCCCCTCTCATGTACCAGTGGGTTCATGATGAGGCTATGCAGACTCAATTTTCTCTGTTCTCTGCCCTTTTTTTTTGACAGATGTTCTCCGCCCTTTGGTTACACATTTTTAACTCTACATTATTGATTTTATATCTTTTTCCAATAAAATTACTATTGTTTATCATTTTTCTAATGCTCATTTGCAATTTTTTTTTGTGCAGCTCTGCACACTTGAATTTGAGACACGTCGAGCTTCCTACTACTGGTTACTGTATGTACTGGGCCTTTACCAACCTTATGTATGGGAATACTCTCGTCTGAGTGTCACCAACACGGTGATGTCTAAGCGTAAGGTGGGGCTAAAGAACTGAACATCATGTATTGAATTCTGGGTTAGTTCTTTTTTCTGATGTACTCCATTATTCTATGGCATAAGTCATGCTTGACCATGGTATTCTGCTGCAGCTAAATCGTCTTGTTACACAGAAGTGGGTTGATGGCTGGGATGATCCTCGTCTGATGACATTAGCTGGATTGCAACGTAGAGGTGTTACTTCAACTTCAATCAATGCTTTTGTTCGAGGAATTGGAATCACTAGAAGGTTAAATTGTGGACAGTATTCAGTCATGCAGTAAACTTTGCATAATATTTAACTTTATATATCTAATGATGTTGTACTAATGATACCATATGCTGCAGTGATTGTAGTGTGATACGTTTGGACCGCCTCGAGTATCACATAAGGGAAGAACTAAACAAAACAGCTCCTCGCACAATGGTTGTGCTAAATCCACTCAAGGTGGGTATCTTGTCTATTTAGCTTCTGGGAACCAACTTATATGTGTTTGACCAACTCTTCTGTGTTTCAGGTTGTTATTACCAACTTGGAAGCAGGCTCAGTAATGGATCTTGATGCAAAGAAATGGCCTGATGCTCAGACAGATGATGTATCGTCCTTTTACAAGGTAAACATGGATTTCTAACAAACTCGTATGTATATCGAGGAATAATGTGTGATAACCATGTCCGTTTGACAGCTTAATTGTCAGCATTAAATGAAATTTTTAATTACATTGACTGTTTCTCTCTTATATCTATGCCAAATATTAATGGACGTGTGTGGGATGTTTTAATCTTTCATCTGATTTTGCCTTTTCTGCTTTCAACATAGGTTCCGTTTTCTAGTGTGGTATACATTGAACACACCGATTTTCGGATGAAAGATTCCAAAGATTACTTTGGGCTAGCTCCAGGCAAATCTGTCCTCCTCAGGTTGATAAATGTTCAAATTAATATATTCTTATCCACTTTTTAGGGAGGCTCAGTACTGAAAAATTTGTTTTGCATGCAGATATGCATTTCCTATAACGTGCACCGAAGTAATACTTGGTGATGATAAAGAGACTGTTCGTGAGATCCGGGCCAAGTATGATCCTTCCAAAAAAACAAAGCCAAAGGTACTCGTCATACTGAAATTGACTGTTAGCAAATGCGAATGCTTCTTTATGGGTTGCAGAATCCTTGATGGTTTTCATTTTATGTATGCTGTTGTGCAGGGGGTTCTTCACTGGGTTGCAGAACCTTCAGCTGGAGTCAATCCACTGAAGGTCGAGGTCAGATTGTTTGACAAATTGTTCCTTTCTGAGGTTGTATATCGTTTCTTCTTTGCGGCTTCCTTTACCTTTTTCGTAGTTTTTATTTTTTTATTTTTTATCATTTGGCGGGGGCTGAAGGATTATGAAATCTGAGTAATTATTGTTAACGATACCAGAATCCTGCTGAACTCGATGATTGGCTTGGTGATCTAAACCCCCATTCTAAAGTTGTGGTCCCAGATGCGTACGCTGTTCCTTCATTTGGAGATGCTGCAGTCGGAGACAGCTTTCAGTTTGAAAGGCTTGGTAGGTCCCCGAACCCAGTAGCTGTTAGTGTTGGTGTTAGTTATCAAATGCAACTGGTCAATAAAATTAATGTGTCATAATTGTATTAGAGTCTAGTATTTGCCCTAGATTCTAGTATTTGCCCTATTGATTTCCTTATATCCTTTTATCTGCCTTTTCATTTTGTATCTTCTTTTGAAGTCCAATAGAGCCAAAATTTGAAGTTCAAGACAAGATATGAAATAAATCAGGACTTGAGCTTGTTTTTGTTGTCATTGTATGAATGGGGTAAGACTAAAATGCCTGGAGATATTTAAGAATCAAATATATTTTGGTGAGCTGTTTTGGTTGAGTAATAAATTCAGGTGCTAGCTGCTGCCCCCCCTCTCATTCTTTGTTTAGAGTGTTTATTATTACACTTCAGAAAACACTAAAAGACATTTGAAACTCTATCAAATTATTTAGAGTATGTTGTACAAACCAGTAATGAGGTTTGATTTATTAAATTTTGAAACTCAATCCTGTCCAGTTAGTTACTCCAAATTTGGTTGATGTCACCAAAATTTTCCGGAAATCCTTAAACTTTTGTTATAGTCAATTTTTTTTTTCACCTTTGTTTGAACACAACTTATAATTAACTAAAATTATTTTAAAAAAATTGAAAAGCTCCTCCTTATTGTTGAACCCCTTTTCACGTTGGTAGCTGACCCCCCTTTGCCTCCCCTTCCCCAACCAAAAAAATTCCCACACAATCGCCACCAAGGTACCAACCCACAAGAACCACCCCACCCCAAACTCACAAACACATCTTCCCTCCTTTGCTACACCAGAACAACCCCCATGAATCACCTCCACCACTCGAATCCCCTTTTCCCACATTACCACTCCAGTACCACCACTAAATCCATGAAACCCTGCAACACAGAATCACATGTTGCATGGAGAGGGAGGGAGGGGAGGGTATATTTGTGCGTGGGTGGGGTTAGCCTGGTGGGTTTGGGTTGGACCAAAGGGTTCAATGACCATGGCATTGTTTCCATTCTCTTCGTTAGTTGAGGGAGGGGGAGGGTATATTTGTGCATGGGTGGGGTTGGCCTGGTGGGGTTGGGTTGAATTTGACCAAAGGGTACAATGACCATGACATTGTTTCCATTCTCATAGTTAGTTGAGTGGGATTACCTGTAATTTCTTAGAAACTGAGAGGTAGACTGTAATAAATTTTAACTTTGGGGTTGTCGTAGTTATTTTTTTTGGTGTCATTTACAACCCTGTTATCCGCTCTTTGCAGGTTCGTTACACATTTTGATATTTGGATTTCATTTTTCATTAAACTTTATGATATGTTTTTCTATAACTTCGATGGTGGTTTCATGTAATCCATTTTGCCAATTTCATTAAAATATTGCCTCAAAGTACGGGTTGTTATCTATTCTCTCTGATTGTTATTTGGTTCCATTTGTCATCCTAGGCTATTTTGTGGTTGATAAGGATTCCACATCTGAAAAGCTCGTCTTCAATCGGACTGTCACATTGCGAGATAGTTATAGCAAGGGTGGGAAGTAGGTCTGTGCATGCAGCATCGAGGATCGTGTAGTAAAGCAGCAAAATCCATGTCCCTATGGGCCACATCTTACGCCATAGGTATGGGATTCGATCCCCCATCTCCCCCCACTTCCCCAAAAAAGGAAAGGAAAAAGAGAAGCAAAACCAATAATTGATGCTTTGGTGTATTTACGGGGATATATATTATGGATACATTTACTTGCCTAAAAAATCTATTTTTCTGCTGTTAGACTTAAAATTTTGTAACTGTCTTCAGGTTTTGTACACCGTATACGGTTTTCCCCTTGTAGTACATCATATACGTTGCACACATGAAAGAGGATAATTTAGCTAAGTTCAATTCTTCACACCCATGGGGTCCCAGCAATATTTTGAGGTTGCCTTCGCTGAAATAAATGCTCATTTTTTCTTCCACATTACAATCTAACTGTTGCTTTTAATATTTTCACAAAGGCATTGAGCTGTCCATCAAGTGGGTGCATTGTAGTTGATGCAAAGATTTTTGTTTTGGGTGGCTGTATTTCAACCCTATAAATATTCATCCCGACCTTATAAGATTCTTTATCGTAAGAATACTAAGTCCACCTCATTCTTTATCCACTCTATTACTCACTAAAGTCACCTTTTTCTATACCTATTTCATTAATGATTAAGTTAATCTGATTAGCATGTTAGTAAATTATTTTTGCCCCTTTGTACATGTCAATTATACACTTTCCCACCCCACCCCTTTTTTTTTTTTCCTATTCGTTGTTTTAATCTGAGCTTGGACAATGAACATAGCATTTGACCTAACTCTGTTACATTAGGAGGAGGTCACTGTAACAGGAAATGCATCAAATTATTATGCACCTTGTAATTCTCCTTCGCCGTCTCGGGCTGAATAGATGTTAATGAAATTTCTTATTTGCCGTCAATGGGAAAGCTTCCAGCCCTTACTCAACGGTGGCAAAGTAATATTTGTTTCATTTGGAAGCAAATCATTGGTTGGATACTAAACTGTGTACTAGCTTCTCTTCATGATAAATATGCATATGTTATCTCCAACTGCTTTTGAGAGAGAGAGAGAGAGAGAGAGGGAGGAAAGTGTACGATATGTAAGAGGGTGGGAGTAATAAAATAAACTAATACGTTAATGGGGTGGAGTTAGTTATTAATGGGGTGTATTTAGTCACTAATGGGTGAACTTATTAGTAGTTTTAAGTTAGAGTTTTTAATGGGTCGGAGATGAATATTTTTCTAAAGATCCTAAGTTTAATTATCCTTTAAGACTCTTGATGTGCTGGATGCCTCATGGTTTGTCAATTATTCTCTGTCATCAGAAAATCTGTTGAAGCACGTAATTGAGATAGCTCTGTTGGTTGTTGTTGGGATGTTCTGTAGCTAGCTATCACAAGGAAATGATAGCCGATTTAACGTGTGAGGATTGTTCAAATAAAAAGATTTTAGAATTATTATCTGTAGATGCTAACTTTAGCTGTCCATTAGAGAATCTTTATTTCACTATCTGCACATGGTTTGTTAATTATTGCGTGAATTTAGAGTTTCGAGTTTTAATTGAGACAGGTTCTTAACGTTTCTTTATTGTCTGTGTTTTGTTGGCATGTTATGTTGCATCAAGTAAATGAAGAGAATTAGAATGACAAATTCTGTCTTCACTTGGCTGCTATAGGGGTGAAAGGAACCCTAACAAACACTTTGACTTTCTGCATGAGAATTAGAATGATGGGAAAGGCTTTAAGTACCGTCGACAGCAGCATATCAAAAATTATAATTTTTTTGAGATGTAAGTTATAATTTTTAAAGGATATAATGATCGATCATGGAGGATATGGATCGATACCGAAAGTCTATTACCGATTATGAGTATTTTTGATTGATTATGACATTTTGAGTGTTTGTAATTTTTTTTTTTAAAGGTGTAATTTTATTATAAAAAATTGTAATGGGCGATACGATATGGTAGACTTTCCCTGTAATGAAGCAATTTTTTTTTTATTTGAGGGTGATGCCTTTTAATTCAATGGACCTACCACCATTGAAAAGTGGGAACTTAATGCTACGTACCCTATGAAGAACCCTAAAGTCTTTAGGGCTTAAAGGACCAATAAAGGACGATAAGAACTCGTGTCACGCAATGAAAAGTCAAGCTTCTTATGTGACTTTACTTGAGAGTTCAGTCTCTTCACGTTTATGTGTGATAGTGACATAGGACGATTAGATAGAAATTTGAAGAGGGGGGGAGTATCTTCTTGCTTCTAAAATTCCAATTTCAATTGACCACGCTAAATTTTGAAATTCCTCATAGAGCACTTAACAAAAAATTGTGTTGACGTAGACATTGGTGGATGAAGTATCCTCTCGTCTTAACTTGAATTAACTCGTAGTTCAATTGAGAGTAGAAATGAGCCGTAAAATTAGACATTCTGTGTTTGATTCTTGATAATTTTTTAGGACTAAATTATGTGAGATTTATTTTTCATGAATACCTTTGTTTCGGCATAAATAATCGGCCTGTGACTGAAATAGAATGAGGATTAATTGAGGTGCGTGTAAGTTAGTTCGAACACTCTTAACCGTTGAATCCATCAATTTCACTTGATCACGCTAAATTATGAAATTTGAGAACACTTGAACAATAAATTGTGTTGATGTAGACATTGGTGGATGAAGTATCCTCTCCTCTTAGGAAAACACTATGGTACTATTTTTTTTTTCTTTTTTTCACCACCGGTTATTATTTTTTTATGATAAAATTACAATTTTAAAACGAGAAGTTATAATTATTCAAGGGAAGGTCATGATCGATCATGACATTCTATGATCGATCATGCCTTTTGAAATTATAATTTACAACTCAAAAAATTTATAATAGTCCAATAATCAACTAAAAAAGAGTTTGATATGGATGCCGCTGATAGTATTGTAGAAGTTCCCGTCCTCTTAACTTAGGGCGGAGGTAGGTGAGTTTTGAGGGATTTACACTGTATGCCCATAAAATTATGTCCAATTTATCTCATTGCCTCCCTTCATTTTTTGAAAATTTTTTATAGTGCCTATAGTCTTTTTTATCTTTAGTAAATTAATAGTCACCTAATCTGGTAAAATAAATATCTTATTATTAGACTAAGTGAAACATAAGTGAAATTTATCAACTCATATATATCGATCAAAGACAATATCTCTGTTATTTAATAAATTTTCTTATATTTTTTTTAAAAAATAATTATATTGTTGTCCCTAATTCAATTTTTGTTAATTAGTGGCTCGAAACCCCATTAACACATGAACAAATGTTATGAATGATAAAATATGGTAACCCAAAAGTATATATGCCTTTTCAAACATGTCAATTTTTTAACAAGATTAAAAGAAATTATTTTGAAACATTTTTGAGAATTGATCAATTTATAGACAATTCTTAAAATTTGAAACAGTGTTGATGTGTTTCTCTTTCATAAATGGTTGAGTTGAAATGTGCTATAAAAATATTACTGTTTTCGTTTGTTCATATTTTATTAATATTAACATGATTTTGATTTTAATTTTTATTTTTATATAGTAATTAAGTCTTAGATCTTAATATACTTCTCATAGTTTTTTTTTTTTTTTGATCAAAATATACTTCTCATAGTTGAACTTAGAATTTTTTGTGTGAAATTTACACCTAATTTTGTCTTTATTAATGGGGATTTCGGGAATTTTTTTTTAATACCAGCTGATTATCTTTTTCATTTATGTTTTTGCCCTCAATAATATAATTTTGGTTCCGCCCTTGACTTAATTCTAAGAGGTAACTCAAGTGGTAATAGTAAAAATTGTAAAACTAAATATCTTGAATTTGAATTTTAACTATTCCTTAGGGTTAGATTATGAGAGATTTATCTTTCATAAATACCTTAGTTTCGGCTTGGATGACTTACTTTTGACCGTACTAAGGTGAGAATTAGTCGAGGTGTAATGTAAATTGACTTGAACACTCCTGACAATTGAACCCAAAAAAAAAAACTTGCCTTACTAATCATCCTTGAAAAGGACAGTCCTATAAAACCTTCAATGACGTGGGTTAAATTGGGACGGATCGTAAAATTAGACGGTTTGAGTTTGATGTTTACCGGTGATATGTATGTTTAAGTGATACCTGTCGTTAAGACATGGTTACAAATATTCGGAATTTACTTTATATGTGAGCTGCTAGAAGGGGTTTCTTGTCATAAGACCCAAATAAATAAATAAATCATACAATCCTTCAATTCTACAAGTACAAAGAATTGTCAAACACGTTTATCACAACATGTTTTTGTGGTTATTAGGAGACTTGTAGACATCATAAAGTCTAGGCTTATCTTCCTGGGCATATGCAGTGCTTTCTCTTTGCATTTGTTTCGTAATTTCCCGAATAAATCTCCTATGTGACCTTGAGAGTAGACTTGTTAAACGATCTAAATAACTCGAGTTTAATTTGATTTTGATGTGTTCAAATAATGACTCATATGGTTAGACTTTTTTACTTTTGTTCGGAAATGAACCACTTTCAAAAAACATGTGGTTAGGTTTGAGTAAACTCGTATCGGCTCGAATAGATTTGCATCTACTAATAATTCTAATTTTATCGTCGAAGAGCTTCGGATCATACACAACCCCTATTTCAAAGATTTGATTTTACGGGTTGATTTTATTGTTTTTTGGAGGAAAATTGGTTATTTTAAATCTATTAGATGTTCTAAGGTTAAAGTTTCAGAAATTTTTGTTGAAAAATTGAGTTTGGTTTTGGGTTGAATGTTTGCAAGCTTCAACCAAATTGAGCTTGATTGTCAGCTTAGTTCATTTAGAATAGAGTTGACAATTACAAACGATCCGATCTTGAACAGACTCGACTCGGGAAGAAACTTTCTTTTTATCCTGTTTTGAACAGGGGGTTTATTGCCAAGTGTTACGTGATTGTTTGTTGATAGATCTTGAGTTGCATTAAAAACCGAACAACTTTTGTCAAGATGTATGACACCCGGAAGCACTTCAGCCTTTCTCTATAAACCACTTTTTTCCATGTCAATGATACTTTCAACTGGTGAAAATGGGCACCAAATGATGCCCAAATTGATGGGTGAGATCACTTGGGCTATGCTAACTAAGCAAATAAAAAAGGTCAACATTGTTCTAGTTAGTTCTTTTGTGTCGCTAATAGACCTATCAATACATCGAATTTTGAATCGATTTCAAATTATCGTATACAAATCTAAAATTTTCATCGATAATTTATATTCGTATTTGAATATACAGACACTTGTCTGATTATACTAAGATCCAAGCTACGTATATATGGATGTTTAAGTATATGACAAAATTGAATGAGATGAAATTTAGATGCACATAGGGAAAATTTAACTAAATTAAGTTCCGAAAGGTAATGGGTGGGAGTAAATATTGAACACCACGTAGTAGTAAAGGTAATGGTGATGCTTTGTTATCGTCATTAGGCAGTCAATAGTATCGATGTTGGTTCTTGTCGAGTTTTAATGGATACACACTCTACCTATACCCGGTAAAACACAAGGACACCCCTAGGAAGTCTAATGAGATCCGGTGTATTACTACTGGTATAATCGCACTCATGGAAGAAGACAAGCGACTTTTTTTGTCACATCAACATCGAGACTAAAAACAGATCTTGATGATAGAAGGCATGACCCTTACTGACGTGGAATCACGAGATAACATTCCAACTAAATTAAATTATTTGGATAAGATTTTCGAACTAGATATAGCTTGTAAAAAAAATATCAGGTCACATATTCTAATCAAATTCAGATTAAATCTTTTGTATAGATTTGAACTCTGTTCAAAAGGAATCTGACCCGTTGATTGGCATAATAGTGTAAATCTTCCACTTGGTCACTCTCAGCTCATGCCCATCTCTGTCTTCCCATCTCTTTTGCTAATCAGTATCCAATAACTAATATCTCAAAGACCTTATGGGGATCATCTGAACAGTTTTTTACCTTCAACCATGATCACGACAGGTTCTTTCCCCTACGAAAGTATCAAACAAGATCTCCGCCAACTAAGCAAAGCTTTGAGCACTCTTCATGAAAGCAATGAAAAAGAT